CACCAAATCAATTTGTCTTTGAACATGTCAGAAAAAAAATTAGACTTGCGAGTTTTGAACAGTGAGTAAACTCGCAATTGCGAGAAAAAAGTCAGAATTGTTAGATAAAAAGTCAAAATTTTTGTTATTGTTTTTTTCATTTGCAGACACAGGCTTCCAGATAAGATCATTAATGTTATTGGCTTAAAAAAAACTTCTCTTATTTGTTGAGCAATTTAGACATTCTTTTTCCCAGTGTAATATATCAATGTAATTAACTTTCTGGGTTTTGTTTTGCTTTGCTTTGCTTTTGTTTTGTTTTGTTGTTTGTGTAGAATTTAGACATTCTTTTCCCCAGTGTAATATATAAATGTAATTAACTTTCTGGGTGTTGTTTTGTTTTGTTTTTTTGATTTGCTTTGCTTTGCTTTTGTTTTGTTTAGTTTTGTTGTTTGTGTAGAATTTAGACATTATTTTTCCCAGTGTAATATATAAATGTAATTAACTTTCTGGGTGTTTTTTTGTTTTTGTTTTGTTTTGTTTGTGTAGAATTTGCTGAATTATGTTGTAATTGAGACATGCAAGTAAATAAATAATAATTTATTAATTCCCACAGTTTATTAATCTGATAAATCATAGCCACATTGTATTAATTCATTACCACAGTTTATTAATTTGTTCCCTTGTATCTACGAATTAGTTCAATTAAAATGAGGGAAGAAAGTAGTACAACATTGCCACAATTAGCTAAAATGAGGGAACAAATGAATAAGTCATAGGAACAAATTCTTAATTCGTGGCCATGATACCTTTATGATTATTACTCTATGATTTTTTGTTTTGAGCCCACGTGTCATATCCAGGACTCTGTATATTTGATCTTAACAGTAGTTTAACATTGATCATATGTGTAGATGTGTGCTGATTGGTCTGTTTATGACGGGTCACAGGTGTATCAAGCGTTCGGTCTGGGTTCATCCATCAGCAAGGTGATGAAGTTTAAGTTAATGCTCCACTACTCTGAAATTCTGGTGATGAACCGACAGTTACCCGATGTGCCACCTCAGTTCATCGATGATCTTTTTCAGGTGACACTCAAACATTTATTACAAATATCACACACAGAACAAAAGAATAAAACTCTTGACTTGGGAAATGAGTTGCATTTCTTTCCATGAGTTTGTTATTACCCAGATTTTATGGCATAAGGGCAGTAAAAGGAAGAATGTCAGACTGCATATAGGGCCAGTTAAACAATGAGAGTATCATAAATTTCACTTCTTCAGCTCAAATCATGCAACAAAACTGTATTTTGCAGGCTGGTCTAGTTATGCAATAGAATCGAGACATATTAATGTATCTTTCCACAAATAAGATATACCTTGTTGTCTAATTTTGGCTCAGAATTATTTACTTTTTCACCTGTGTCAAATAGATATTCAATTCATTGTTTTAAAAAGCTGTTTTTAATTATTACATTTTAATTAACAAAAACATAAATGTGTCCTACAGCCTGTTACTGTATTATTTTACCCTGTTAAAAAATATTACATTCCTTAAAATTGTGACACCCAAGAAATAACATCATTTGAACCCTTTATACAGCATGGCCTAGACAAGTAGCTAGGTAAATAATTCTGATATAGTTTATTTACATTTTGTCTATTTATGCAATACAATGCAGTCACATAAATCAGGGCTTAAACTGCATTTAGATAAAAAAAAACAAAAAACAGCTGCATTTAGATGATGCATTTAAAGGTTGCAGAAATTATAAACCATGTAAAACCAGAAGAAAATAAAACTGCTAATATAGTATTTCGTAAACAATCAGGATTTTCTGAAGGTTACACTACTTTTTTTAATTAACTTTTTTGTTGAATGAGAAGAAAAATGGCTTTAAGAGATTCATGCTATTCATGGAATGTGCCAAATCCATTAAAACAAATTCCAAACATTGCATAATACTCAGTGATAGAATAAACATTTACCTCCCTGTAGTCTAGGACTCTTGAAAATGGATTAAAAGCCCTCTCTCTCTCTCTCTCTCTCTCTCTTTCTCAGATGGGTGGCGATTTTGTGCTGGACCAGGGTGGTAAAGCGATATTTTCCTACCAGTGTAAAAGCCCTGTGGACAGACCATCAGTTCCACAGATTCTGGCTGCCGTCTCTGCTCATTCTTAGCATTCCTGGAGAAAAAGGTCTTTTATGTTTTGTCTTTCTAGCATGTTAAACTGCTTGACTTGCTTCCTTGCCATCCTGATAAGAAGTTCCAGTTCCTGAAAAGTTATACTCGTTCATGTTCATGCCAGACGCCATTTAGAACGATGGCCAAAATAAAGTTTGTAAAATTAGCCATTCCAGACCCTCAATTTGGCATGGAAGGAGGTCTGTTCTTTTCCAATGCACATTTTGGCCTGAATGTGTGATTTTACTTATCTGTAAAATGTAAAAATGAGAAGCTACTGTATTACTGTGAGACTCATACTAAAGGAAATATGAAACGGATATCATCTCAGGGTATTTAGGACACTAACTCCATTAGTCTATAGTAAACAATATGTGTGAAGACACTGTCACTGATTCCAGGCCTTTAATGTGTTGCTTTAGGTTGGCTCCACAGATAGACAGCTCCCCCAGAGGTTGTATGGATGAAGATCTGACTCAAACTCATACACTTATGAAGAGTCATTTCTGATGGACATTTACACCCTCTGGTCATCACAGCTTCTCAGCTGTTGAGTTACAGTAGCACAGACCTGTCTGACCTCTATTTCACTCAATAACCTGTGTCTTAATTAAATTAACCCAGATTATTAACTTAATTTTTTTTACATACATTTTTTAAATACATTTTACAATTATACAAGACATATGAAATGAAAGAATCGTATTAAGCTGTTTAACTATACTATTTACTGTGAATGTTAAATGTTTACAAAAATAAAAATAAAATATATATAGGTTGGAATTTCTTTGATTATTGAAATCCACATTAAGTAAAGAGATGCATGTCGGCCAGAATGAGAATGGAGATTTATCCACCTTTCAGCATAGCTCAAGAGTCCTATTTCACTGTTAACCTGCTTCAGTAGTTGCCAAGTGATTCAAGCTTTGAAAACAAATACTTTAAAGGGTTGAAACAACAAGCTGTGATTCTAAAGAATTTTCGAACAATAAAGAACAAAACAAAAACAAATTTCTTCTACGGTTTTGAACACACGTCTAAAACAGCACTAATGTCATGTCAGAACCAAGGCAAAAGTAGACCACCCTTGGAATAATACAAACATTAAACATCAAAAAGATTAAATAATTTATTATATTTTAGTATGTTTTCATATGTCCATGATCTTCAAACCTTTGTTATTACAAATATTTCCAGTACTGGCTTTAAGATCTCATGAATATCTAAGTTTTGTGAATTTTAGTCTATTACCTTTAAAGCCATCTACAGTATAGGCTGTTGTATTTTTTGTAAAGTTTGTTAACTTTTAGCAGATATGTTTTTTTATATATATATATATATATATACACACACACACACATTTAAGGGGGTCTGAATACTTTCCGTACCCACTGTATATATATATATATATATATATATATACAGTATTTCTCTTACGCACTACAATATACGATCCCTCTGGTGAATCCTATCCCCTTTCCTCAAAGTCTGTTCAAGTGTGCTATCTTGAGCTAGTAGTAGACTAACTACTTTGCTTGCTAACTGAAAATACTTAGAAAGAGACTTTTTTTAATTTGACCATTTTTATGTAATATGTAATTTAAAAGGCATTAACATTTTTCATGAATACAGAGTAAAAACGATTTAGAGTGAGGCAGCGCATAAAACTTTTCTCAACCAATGGAATTGCTTTGGGATTCAAGGGGGACAGGAGGTTAAAGGGTTAGTTCACCCAAAAATGAAAATTAGCCCATAAATGACTCACCCTCAAGGCATCCTAGGTGTATATGACTTTCTTCTTTCAGACGAATCCAGTCGGAGTTATATAAAAAATTGTCTTTGATCTTCCAAGCTCTTTAATGGCACTCAATGGGTGTTGCAGTGCATCAGTCGAAAAGAAGTGAAATAAAAAGCGCCCATCCATAATAAAAAGTCTCACATGGCTCCGGGGGGTGAACAAAGTCCTCCTGTAGCGAATCAATGCGTTTTAGTAAGAAAAATAACCATATTTATAACGTAATCGCTACAGGAGGACTTTGTTCACCCCCCGGAGCCATGTGAGACTCTTTTTATCATGGATGGGTGCTTTTTATTTCACTTCTTTTGGACTGATAGACTGCAACACCCGCTGACTGCCATTAAACAGCTTGGTAGGATCATTAAATTCACTGGCCCTAATTTTACCTGTGCAACAACTGTTTTTGAAACAGTTAATAAATGCTCTTGATATACTTATATACCCCCGGTTTTACAGATAAGGCTTAAGCTAGTCCCAGACTAAAATGCATGTTTGAGCTGTCTCAACAAGGATGATCAGAAGAAATGGACAGCACCTGAGTTAAATATATGAGTGTCACAGCAAAGGGTCTGAATACTTAGGACCATGTGATATTTCAGTTTTTCTTTTTTAATAAATCTGCAAAAATTTCAACAATTCTGTGTTTTTCTGTCAATATGGGGTGCTGTGTGTACATTAATGAGGAAAAAAAAGTTAACTTAAATGATTTTAGCAAATGGCTGCAATATAACAAAGAGTGAAAAATTGAAGGGGGTCTGAATACTTTCCGTACCCACTGTATATATATATAATATCTTAATTAGAAGCCATTTAGGAATTTATCAAGGTCAAACATCAAACTCGCACAGATAATACATGCGTCTTTCACAGTAGGTGTCCCACCAGTCTCCATCATCTGAGGACATGGCTACACAGTTCTCTCGTTTCCCACCATCTGGCTGGCTTGATAGGAAGTGCTTCCTCCATTGGAAGTAAGTGACACGAGTTGTGTCCTCAAATAGGTAGAGGCCTTCAGAGCGCTCATCACTGATCCCAAGCCACACAGGCCAGTTTCCATGGAATACTGATTTCACATATTCAGCCAAAGCTTCCTGCTCCTTGCGATCTCGTGGCATAGCCATGCGTCCTCCCCGCTCCTGACATTTCTGGGATGCATCTGTGTAGTTCTCATATGCACGGTATGCCAGGAAGCATTTATAACCAATTTTATGGCCTTTCTGGCAGCCTGGAACCACAAAGTCATTTTCATCATATTTTAATAAAGTAAAGCACACAGAAGTTCAAAGATTATGAGTGTCATGTAGAGTACTTTGCTGTCATATTAACAAGATTTGCCCAAGTAGTACACATTCCTGGACCAACAACCTTTCCAGTCCTGGAACATTACTATTAAACAGTACAATTTTAGCATTAAGCTTCTTTAGATCCTAATCAAAAGATCAGAACCAGAATATTCAGCATGTGTGGTTCTCTATAACATTAAGATCTCAATTAGGGATTGGCATTAGGAGTTTTTTTTTTTTTTTTTTAGGAAAGCATCGGAATAGGGACTGGAGTTTAGGTAAAGGTTCAAATTTTACAACTAGGTATATCGTTGGGATTAATGTTTAGGGTAGGAAATTGGAGTTAGGCATTAATGTTAGAGGGTGTTGGAAGGACAGAAATCAGAAATGGAGATTAAGGGTCAAGGTTTAAACTAGGGTTTGGAGTTAGAATTGTAAGTTTGGGGCTGGAAGGATTGGAGGTAAGGCTGCAGGGTTAGGATTAGGTTAGGTCAGGGGTGTCCAATCCTGTTCCTGGCGAGCCACCTTCCAGCAGAATTTAGCTCTAGCCCTTACTAAACACACCTGAACCAGCCAATCAAGGTCTTCAGGATCAATAGAAACTTCCAGGAAAGTGTGCTTGAACTAAACTCTGCAGGAAAGTGACCCTCCAGGAGCAGGATTGGTAAGGAAAATGATAGGGGCTGGAGGGGATCGATCGCAGGGTTAAGGCCCCAGTATACTCACGGCAAAGTTCTCTGCTGTTCTTTGCTTAGGGTTAAAAAGAAGTCTAAAAAGAAGTTGCAAGTACCTTTGCAGCAGTATACTATTAACATCCTGAAACTGCCTACACTGTTGGGATCGGTGTTTAGGTGAATATGTAAATATGTGCTGCACACTTTCCATTCAAAAATAAACACAAAATGAAAATGACAGCAGTGAAAAAAAAACAGCCATTAAGAAATCATCTAATTATAGCTATGTGGATATATTTGCACAAGCTCTCCAGTGTGTTCATGTCTTCACTTGAGTCTGTCCTGGACTGACTGATCAGAAGAAATAAATCGGAGATGATTTCCACATCAAAGAGTGGAGCCCAGAACACACCTTCCAATTATGTAGTCAGAACAGTGGTTGTTCGAAGGTGTTTTTCAGTCAGAGCAAACCTTACAGAGAGTTTGCTTTGGCAAGCTGTTTTGAACACCCGAAATTAACTCCAGATGAAATTTGTTTTGTCATCATTTTGTTTGAAACCAGTTCGTTCTTCGATTGAAGTATACTGGGGCCTTGAGGGGGTTAGAGTTCATGGTTATGGTGAGAGATAGAAAGACTGGAAGGGGTTGAAAGAATAGGAATTGTGTAACATGAAGGGATGGAGGTCAGATTTTGGTTTTGAAAGTTGCGGGTGAAGAGGGTTTAAGAGGTCGAGCTTCTTATTAAACAACAATTTTGCCCTGAATTTAGGGTAGTTTAGGGATAGGTTTGGATAGTCCTCCAAAAGCTGGTCGCCTGGCCAGACTGAGCATTTGGGGGAGAAGGGCCTTAGAAAGAGAAGTGACCAAGAACCTGATGATCACTCTGACTCCAGAAATCCTGTGTGGAGATAGGACAAAGTTCCAGAAGGACACCCATCACTGCAGCACTCCACCGATCTGGGCTTTAAGGCAGAATCGCTAGACAGAAGTCTAAACACGTGAAAGCCCAGAGAATCTTGTTCTTCACCGTCTGAGAGTCCTTCAGGTGCTTTTTTGCAAACTTCAAGTGGGCTTTCACGTGTTTAGACTTCCGTCAGTCAGAGTGACCATCGGGTTCTTGGTCACTTCTCTTACTAAGGCCCTTCTCCCCCGATTGCTCAGTCTGACCAGGCGACCAGCTTTTGGAAGAGTCCTGATTGTGCCAAACTTCTTCCATTTGAGAATTATGGAGCCCACTGTGCTCTTGGGAACCTTCAGTGCAGAATAATTTTTTTTGTGGCCTTCCCTAGATCTGTGCATTTCAACAATCCTGTCTCTGAGCTCTGTAGGCAGTTCCTTTGACCTCATGGCTTGGTTTTTGCTCTAATTTGCATTGTCAGCTGTGAGGCCTTTTATAGAGAGGTGTGTGCCTTTCCAAAACAAATAATTTATTTTACCACAGGTAGAAACATCTCAGCAACGATCAAGAGAAATGGGAGGCACCTGAGCTAAATTTCAAGTGTTGTGGCAAAGGGTCTGAATACATGGTAAATGTGATGTTTCAGTATTTTTCTTTTTAATTAATTTCCAAACATTTCTAAAATTCTGTTTTCACTTTGTCATTATGGGGCACTGACTGTAGATCAAGAAGAAAAATATGAATTTAAACGATTGTAGTATCAGGCTGCAACATAAGAAAATTGAAAAAAGTGAAGGGGGTCTGAATACTTTCCGAAAACACTGTATATAGCACTAAACTGGAAACACTTGTGTGAAGGCAAAAGTCTAATCTGAAAAGTCTAAAGCCTAATCTGGCTCATTTCTACAGGTTTTCCAAGAGCCTAGTTTTCCACAAGGTTTAACAGTTCACCAGGAAACAAAAGCTGTGTTAACAAGTTCCGGGTGTAACCCCTCTTATTCTATTCCACTCACTTGCGCCAGCGTTTCTGGCATGGGAGGCGGGTGCTAACAAGGACGCTAAAGACTGCAGCCTCTAGCATCAGTCGCTAGTGCACCCCTTGAGATAAGGGGAGTGATGTTTACCTGCACAGTGTTTTCTTTGGGGTATTTTGAATTTAAAAGAGATGTGTTCACATGTTTATCCACGGCATACAAAGAAAGTTCTATTTTCCGATCTTGAGCGACCCTCTGGATTCTGTGTGATTTCATTTAATTAGAAGGGTGTCCTCTGAAATACCTTACTGAGAAGGAAATCAGGTAAATATGTGACATTTAACATTTAACAAAACATAACTGTGATTGGTCACTTTTCAGATGACCTCTTCCTGACTAAGTGAGCAATCGTTGGCAATTTCAGTGGCTATAGAGCCCAAACCTTATGTCGTTAAACCATGGTCTGGCTCCATGAGACTAGAATTAGGATTAGGGATGGGATGGATTTATGACTATAACTTGACTACACTTGACATTGTTCCAGGTCCAACAAAGGGTGTTAATCCCACTTGTCCTGCCTTGGTGCCAAATAACCTTATGGATTGGGTCATCGTGAACAGTGGGTTTAACTTGAGATACTGCCCTTGAAATAAACTGTTACCACCTTACTTTATAGTTGGTAAGCTCCTCAGTAGTGAAAACATGGATTCTTTAAGCACAAATAGATTTCCCACTATTGACTACAATGCCCTTTATAGCCCGCAACTATGAGCCAAAGTTAAAGACAGTAGAGAACACACTAACCCTCTAGTCGTCCAATTTCTTTGCGATTGTCCTTGCAGTAGGACGAGACTAGTTGAATAGCATCCTCAGTGTCGCCTAGTCTATTCTCAAGTCGTGACATTCTTTCCAACAGTTGTGTAACTTTAATGTCCAATGTGTAATGTCCCACATTAAGCCTGTGGATAGCCTGATCCATCGCTGCCAGTCTAGACACTGCAAAAATGTATAAATAGACAAATGTGAATCAAGTCTTTCATTAGTCAGCTATGCTGCATACCAGTGAATGAATAGAATATCAAGAAACTGTGTTGTGGAGGGGGAAGGGGTTGACAAGGTAGCTGAAGATATAGACAGTCTGGATTCTTGAAGAGCCTTCAATAGCAGTTTCTTAGATAGAATCTTAGTGAGTTCATCAAAAGACTTAAATTATACCCAGAGTATTAAATATTACCATACTAACAAGCCTTCATGTCATGTCAGGACAAACAACACCTTCATTTGTGCAAGTAAAGACACAGGCTGTTATTGCAAGTGAAATATATGCAAATATACATTCCGTTGTATTGGTTTTGGCTTGCATTTCTGGCACTTCAAATGGAAGTGTGTAAGTGAAGTGAGTGTCTTGTTAACGCACGGATGTAGTTGTAAGTGCTCTCCATTTCAGAGACGGCAGTGGTGGGTTCAGGTTCTATGATGTCTGGAGTGTCCCCTCGCCCTCTAACCATCTCCTCATTGAACACTCTCGCCTGTAGAATTGAACGACAACAAAACCACCATCAAAACCAGACTTAAAGCTGGAATTCACTACACAACCTCTGCCCATATTTTTGCCCCAATTTACACTCTGAAAGAGTCAACACTAGTTGGCAAAATTCAGAGCCAGTCAACAGATTTTGAGCAATCACAGATTTCACAGAAAATTGCATAATATATGATGACCACAGACTTTGATTTTTTTAGCCTCAGACTATGAATCCATTCATCGGCAGGGAATCAAACATATTTAATAATTTTAGCCGATTGTAGAACAAATAATGTTTTTGTTGGTCGTCGGTCTCCTAGCAACTAAGCGCATATTTCTGTGTGGGTTTGTGTGACCCTTAGTTATAAAGTGTATGATGCCCAGTTTTTCTCTGTAACCATTTACAACATAGCCAAATATATGATGCCTGGTGGTTTGAAATCTGTTCAGATTTTAAAAGTTGCATAGAGTATTCCAGCCTTTGCCCGATACAGAATGCACATGCAGAATCACACTGGATTTCATGGCCAGGTACTTAAAGAGTTAGTTCACCCACAAATGAAAATTTAGACTGTTTTACTCACCCTCGAAGCATCCTAGGTGTATATGACTTTCTTCTTTCAGACGAATCCAGTTGGAGTTATATTAAAAATTGTCCTGGCTATTCCAAGCTCTATCATTGCAGTCAGCGGGTGTTGCAGTAGAACAGTCCACAAGTTGTCAAATATGGGTGAACTAACCCTTTAATGCTTCTTAAGTAATGTGATTGCTATTTGAGGATGTATTGTAGCAACCAGAAATGAATGCCCTTGACTTTGTTCCCACTTTATAAATGCAGATGCATGTTGAACTAGTTTCATCATTCCAAAGCAATACAGTAACCCCAAGTAGAAAACCATAGTGTTCATGGTAGCATCATGGTACAGTGATGGCATCATATGGTAATACCCTGGTACTTTGATGTATTTCAAGGTATTTACATAATACTCTAAGGCACTTAAAAGAATACCATTCAATTAGCATCATGGTAGGTTTTCAAAGACGCATTTTGTAAGTGAAACTTATTACAAAATTGTTTCAATGGAAATCATTGAGTTCATATATTAAGTTATATTAAACAGTAATTGGATCAATTCCCACGAAGTAAATGTAGAATCTTAACCTGAAACAGATCAGCTGTTGTGATGGCCGGTCTCGTGGTGTTCTCGCCAGAGTAACAGGAAGACAGAGCGCCGAAGCCCACTACAGCCGCCAGAATCACTGTTAGAGTCATCTCCACTTGAAATCACTTCACTTCATAAATCCCTTTCTTCTTTTCAGCCAGCTCTGTTTTATTGCATATATACACAACTCCTGATGTTCACTCAACAGCAACCTTCTCTCCTCCTTTCACATTGCTTTCAACTGTCTCGCTCTATCGTTCACCTCTATACAGCTGTTTTGTTTTAGCCTCCTCCCTCTCTGCAGCTGGCGGACACTTTCCCTCCTCCTCCTTTCACCTTGTCTGAAAGATTATTTTTTCTTTCTCTCTCTCTCTCCCTCCTTCTGTTTTCTTTCTTTCAGCTGCTTCACCCTGAGAGTTTTATACCCAAACACAGGATTTTATTCTTTTTTTAATTCCTCCCACTTCCATTCTTTGTGCTAACATAGCAGTTTTACTGACACAGCTCTTTCTCCCTCTTTCATAAACATTTAAACAGATATTCATTTTCTTGCCCAAGACTCAGCTTTCTGTGATTTTTTTTTATGCTTTTGTCCTTTGGGAACATGCTGTTCTCTGGAAGTCAATAGTGGCCGAATGACAGGAAAATGATGAACGTCTCATTACCAGCCGAGTCCTGTCTCCACACATGGAAGAAATTTGGATTTCTCGACCTCTAAACAGGACACTTCTCTCTTTCTTGCTCACTTCCTCTGGAGGAGACTTTGGAAGGGAGTTCGATCTAAGAAAGGAGTTTTGCCCAAAAGAATCCAGTTCATTACATAAAGTCTAACTAAGCAAATCTCTCCCAGATGACTGTGTCTAGACATTATACGGTACAAGAAACAGATAAACAGCTTAGATGTCTACCTTTGACAAATAAGAGTTAGAAAGAACTCCAAAACATTGGCTATCTATTATTGTTAGACTGATCTAATCCACCTATAAACTGAACTCCTTTAAAATAATCCAGATATAGCAGCCAGTCAGGAACCGGAACACTGTGTGTTATGGATATAATCAGATGTTACCCAAAAAAACTTTCAATGTTAAATGACCTCTTGGAAAACTACAGGGCCACTTTCCAGTCAGAAACTAACAAGGCCTTTTTTAAAACGTGGTGCAATAGCGTCAATACCCCCAAATAAAAATGATTGCCTGAGGAAATAAAACGTATTCGGAGCATTTTGAAAATGCCACATGTGACCAATTACATTACATCCAACGGTTATATTTTACTAAAATAACACTGGGGGCAGTGAAGTGACAAAAGGCAGAAAACTGTCATGGGATTTATGAGTAGAGCTCCATCTTTCTGTTTTCAATTACTACCAGGCAAGAGAAGAATGAGACAAACAACAAGAGTTAGTGTACTTCTTTTATTGTACTTCTCTTCCATTACAGATACATAAATGCATAAATACTGGCTCCAGGCCACGCATTTCGTATTCAACAAAACCATCTCGCAACAAAGCTCCAAAAATGATTCCTACCCTTGAACCCTAGTTAGTTTAGCCCTGCATCATGCGACAGACAAGTACGTGAACGCTTCTGGTGTCGATTTCACACATCCAAAATCAAGCATTCTGAAAAACATCAAACGCAAGTGATCAGCAAGTTAATTCAACTATTCAGCTGACCTGAACAATAGAACATTCAGTTTCAGTTAACTCTATCACCCCCTTGAGTTCTGGAGTTCGTTAATGCCGCAGTAATACAATAACACCCATTTTTTTAATGTTGCATCCACATTTGCCGTACTTGCATTGAGTATGTTTCGGGCCTAACAACCAATGGAGATTTGAACTATTGCTTTAAGTTACTAAGCCACCTCTGGAGTACTGGGCTAAGAGACAAAGAAAGGAAGCATTTAGGAGAATGAGGAGAAAAGTCAATGATTCACGTCAACGCATACAATGAAAGTAGCACGCATATAAAAGGTCTACAAAACAAGCAAGGCGCAAAGACATCTCCTCAAAACCATGCTAGCACTACGGTGTCTCATTTAGGTCCTTATCAATAAATGTACAGTGAAGCATCTTAACACTAGTATTGAGGTCTAGATAAATATAGATACAAAATGATGGCAGTGACGGTGATGTGGCATTCACACTATAGTGGATTTAGTGTGGATCTGAGTGATTAATGCATCTTCCAAACTTCTGTAAACACGCACTTGAGTCCGAAAACGGGGTTTTGGGTTTGTTTTCATGTGAACCACAGTATGGTTTGTGGTTGATGGGAATGCAATCCAGAAGTGGGCTGGTACTAATTAAGTATATTGTGCCATTTTGGTAGTAACATCAAACAAAAATCAAAACATTGTTCTGCAACTTTAAAGATTTCAAACTTTGTTGCCTGGATACAAGGGATAAATAACTTTTGGTTGTTCTAATGTTGATGGTGAAAGAATTTTTGCGCAACATACCACAGTTTAGAATAACAGTAACAGTGGGAAAGCAGATCAACAGGGCCAGGAGAGTAGAGCCAAAGGGTTCTGACTCGAGCAAATGTACCAAGTGTGAAATCAACTAAAGAAAAATCCTACCCGTTGTATCATAGCTCATGCTTCCAGTAACCAGTGAGATACAGTTTAATACAGTCGTAGAGATATTGATGCACTATAAATACACTACTAAAGCGTTTGGATTTAAAAGGAAAGTGTTCTGTAGTGTTGGGTTTGTGGTGCTTGCAGGTCCTGTCATCTGGAATGGGTTCTTCAGGATATTCAAGCGTTACCAGTTGTCCAAGAAGTCAAATCCAGTCTTCAGGATATTACTGCTTGTGTTGAACTGAAAAAAGGAAATACAACAATTTACGTGTTGTCAGTGGTTAAAATGTTTGTAACAAAAAAAAAATCTAATTTAGAAATTTCTATAATTTAAGTTATTTTATATAACTTTTAAATATATATTTCAAAACGTGCAAATTCTTACACATACTTTTTGTATTCATGTTGGTTTTGGTTTTAAAAAACTTTTTTCTTCATAAAAACCTCAAATTATCTAATATTATATCTCACTGATACAATTTTCTGTTTTGGATCACATGATTTTGATTCGTCTTATTATTACATCATATAAGCAGTTTTGTTTCAATATTTTACATTTTTTCTAAGAAGTAATAATACAAGATCCAAACTTCTTAAGCTTTTTTTTTTAAACTTCTCTTTGAAGAACACGATTAATTTAAGCATTTTCTGATGCATTCTCATTTTTCATTTTGATACACTCTTAAAAATAATGGTTCCAAAAGAGGATTTTGGCAGTGATGCCATTTTGGGTTCCCCAAAGAACCCTTCAGTCAGCAGTTCTTAAAATAATCATTTCTTTTTCCAGAATAAAGAACATTTTTGTGCAATGAAAAGTTCTATGAATGTTAACATGTTCTTCATGGAACTACAGATGCCAGAACCTTTATTTTTAAAAATGTATCAAGACAGTTTATGATTATGGACTTTATGCCACCAAAACACAAAATATTAAAACATGCAATTCATTCAATTAACTGTATGTATGAATTTCATTTTAATGTACTGAATTAATAATATAATTATCATCAAAGCATTTACCCACACACAACTGTCTGTCTTTATCTAACTACATGAAATGAAGGTGAAATTCCATCCAACCTGTGAGAAGGTAGGACTTTCTGCCTTGTCGGCATCTTTGACTGTGCTGTTGGACTGAGAGGAAGACCTGGTGACCAGACCAGGACTGAACACATCATTCATAGTGCTTACAGAAGGAAGAGTGCTCTGGGCCCTTTCCCAGCCTTCCTCTGAGGACGACACGGGAGCAGGAGGTGTCGCGGTCACGCTGATCGCCACAGGGGTCACGCTGATGGGAACGCTTGTGTTGAACTGAAAAAAGGAAATACAACAATTTACGTGTTGTCAGTGGTTAAAATGTTTGTAACAAAAAAAACCTAATTTAGAAATTTCTATAATTTAAGTTATTTTATATAACTTTTAAATATATATTTCAAAACGTGCCAATTCTTACACATACTTTTTGTATTCATGTTGGTTTTGGTTTTAAAAAACATTTTTTTTAACTGACCTAACGTCTTCATAAAAACCTCAAATTATCTAATATATCTCTTTGATACAATTTTCTGTTTTGGATCACATGATTTTGATTCATCTTATTATTACATCATAAAAGCAGTTTTGTTTAAATATTTTACATTTTTTCTAAGAAGTAATAATACAAGATCCAAACTTCTTAAGCTTTTTTTTTTAAGCTTCTCTTTGAAGAACACGATTAATTTAAGCATTTTCTGATGCATTCTCATTTTTCATTTTGATACACTCTTAAAAATAATGGTTGAACCGGCCGCGAGGCAGGCGCATCCTCTGACTCCCTCGGCCCAGACTCTGACCTCAGGTACGACGGCAAAGGCTTCTCTCCTTTCTCCAGAGACTTGATCTGGCTGGGCGTCAGCGACTGAAACTCAGCCTTCTCGCCCTCTAGCCGCGAGCGTTCGGCGCTGATCTTCCAGAAGGACGACTCGTCATTGCTGGGCAGCTTGGTATTCTGAGAGGGCTTGGGTTTGGATTCGTTAGCTGAGGAGGGAACGGCCAGTTCTGGGGCACCGGAGATGATGCTGAAATCCATCTGACTCTGTTAGGAAGGGACGGGCTGAATCACATTTGTTTGCTCTTTGCTAGCAAATTGAAAATGTATTTTTAGCAGAGGTGGCCTACTTACCTTGGTCTCCCAAGAGAAGGGAGCCGAGTGCTCATCTTGCCAAGTTAAGTCCTTGAAATAAAAGAGACAGAGATGTGAATAGGCCATAAGATGTGACATCACTCCTTTAAGCCCCGTTCACGCTGCCAGCGACTTTTTCGCTGTATGTCACTAGACTCCATGCTGTGAAGACGCTTGTGGGCGCTCCTACTGCTGTCGCTCTAATGTTATTGGTAGACTGCACGTCTGGACATATATATAAAATGCAATCACAAACTATACATTGCCGGTAAAACTAAGATATAATTCTATTATGACTAGGAATTAGACTTAAAAGAAATAAAAGTACCATTCTGCTGTTGGAGAGTGTTATTATATAAACTACAGCAGTGCTCGTGCATTAAATCATTAACCAGTGCTAAACTACTCACTGCATCATGTAATTAACAACTCGAACCAGCAATGTATGAATCAAACTCACTTAGACAGCCAACAGTTTCTTTTCTATGCATAATTTTTTTTAAATCCATGTATGTGGTTACAGTACAATCATATAAAACAGTGAAATCGCGAAATCTGCTGTTCATTTGCATAAAGTAAAAAAAATTTTAAAGGTCACATATTGTACACCTTTCGAAATTGTATAAATTATTATTATTTTTATTTACTTGATTAATTATATTTTTTATTATTATATTTACTCACAATTTCTACCTAATAAAAATGTTGCTGTTTGGCATTACTAGAAAAATGTTGATCCATTCATTTCCAGATCTAGAAATCTGGTGTAATTTGGTGCATTTTAATGCTTGTTTTTGACTTATTTTAAACCATTTTAAGTCATCTTGAGGCTCCCGTTTAAGGTTTGCTGAGGCCTCTGGCAAACTTTGGAAAACTTTTGCCCTGTTAAAGGTCCCATATTTTACACCTTTCTGAAGTTTTATTTTAGCTTTTGATGTCCTTAAGAATATATATTTGCGGTATAAGTACCAAAAACCATCTCAATATATTTTTACAGCTCCTCAGGTCGATTTTGGCCTGTCTAATTAATATTCATGAGCCTCTCTTCTAATTGGCCTGTTGTTTTTTTGAGTGACGCACGGCCAGGCCAACCACAGGTAACTAGGGTCAGCCGACGCAGTGTTGCCAGACGTACGATAATTATCGTATTTGTACTTGCTACATAAGGGCTCAAAATATCATCTTGTTGTGAAGTTGGGTGCACAGACCTCAGTTATCGTGAAAAAAGCAAGGAAATTTCAGTTTTGACAATATGGGACCTTTAACACACCCACAATCTGTCGCCAACAGTCACTGTCGCTCGTGTCGCCAACTCTCCATTGAAAATTAATGGGAGCATGTCGCTGTGTCGCTGGCAGTGTGAAGGGTGCTTTGCCATTTCTGCATTGAACAGGGTTAGAAATACAGGAGTACTCAAAAAAAAAAAAAAGATAAACCAGACTATCACAAAATATAATACATAATTTGCAAATGTGGCACAGATTTCTTTAATAAGTGGTTCATAGATATTTAGTAAATAGTTGAATTTATCAATATTTGGTAGAGACTTCTTTCATAAACATTGTTAATATGTAGAATTCTAAGAGATTTGTTTGGTGAACTGAATGAAGATATTCAAAAATGATTTTTTAGTAAAGTTTAACTTGTTTAGTAAGCTGTTTAATGTACAGATATTTGAAATATCTGACATACACTGAGAGATTTTAAGTATAGTTGATAAGAGATTTAAGTAAACAGTTTAACAAATAGAACCGAGAGGTTTGTCTTTTAAACTAATCTTTATATATTTGACATAGAAGTTTAACAAGTGAAAAACTAACTCAAATTTGACTATTGTTGAAGTTAATACTTTAATGAATATATATATTTCACTTTTTTAGCAGCTGGTTTAATAACATTTTTGTTTAGTAAACGGTTTTATTTTGACTTACATTATTTGGCACATGAACAAGTATAATATTATATAAAATTAAAAAAAATCAATTAAATGTAACGAGAAGTAAAAGAAAAACAATAATTAATAGCAGACAGGAGGTTTGTTGTTATTTGTTCATATCATAATGTAACGTTAACTGTTTTGGATTGACAAACCCTTTATTACTAGAGCAAACCCAAAGCAAGTCTACACTGAACCAACAATAACAGCTCTAACTTAACACATGACAGTCCCACACATCAGCACCTCTTCTCCGAAGTGAACAGTCTTCTGTCCGGTCTGGAGCAGTAGTTTCGGGAAGCAGATCAGCTCTTCTCGCTCCACCCGGTGCATCGCGTACCGAGCCCGGATCCGCGGGTCCATCATCCCGTTGTCTATCGCCGTGTCCTGTTCGACCGGACTCATCTGATCCCAAGCAGAACCGTACCTCTCCTTTATCTTTTCCCTCTCCTCCACGATCTTACGGGCCATGGAGTTGATGGAGGAGAAATATTCCATCTTTTTGGCCTCCGTAAGGAGCGGATGGTCCGCCGCAGACCCTGCCGTCGCCGCGGCCGCCATTTCCTCAACAGCGCTGACGTACACAAAAGACTTTTATTCTGTTTTCAGGTTAAAGTGTATCTTCAAAATGATACATTTGGGTGGAATGTAACTTTGTGGACATGTACAAGCAAAAACACATACATAAATGGTTTTCCCATTCCCAACCTTTCTAGTCGTTAATTTTAATATGCTCATCAAGGCTGCATTTATTTGACCAAAAATGCAGTAAAAACAGTACTATTGTTAATTATTATTACAAATTAAAATAACGGTTTTCCGTACTAATCCTCTTCCGTAGTTTTCTATTTTTAATATACTTCAAAGTCTGATGTATTCCTGTGATAGCAAAGCTGAAATTTGATCAGCCATTAGTCTTCAGTGTCACCAAAGAGAAATCAAATCTTTTTGTTTGTTTGTTTGTTTGCTTGTTTGTTTAAGAAATTAACGCTATAATTCAGCAAGGATAAAATAAATTGATAAAAAAAAAGTTATAGTAAAGGCTTATATTGTTACAAAAGATTCCCATTTTGAAAAAATGCTGTTATTTTTTAGCTTTTTATTCATCAAAGAATCCTGAAAAAAGTATCACAAGTTCAAAAAATAAAATAATTAAGCAGCACAACTCTTTCCAACATTGATCATATTCAAATTAAAAAAACATGGATAATATTCTAATTGAAAACCGTTATTTTAAATTGTAGTAATATTTCACAACATTACTGTTTTACTGTATATTAAATTTTTATATATAATTGTTATACAAAAATGCAACCTTGATGAGTATAAGAGACTTCTTTAAAAACATTAAAAATATTACTGATGCTAAACCTAGTGTACAGCCACATGGTGTTTAAAAACCGCGTGAAGCATTATGTTGTATTGTTTTACTATTCCATTAAAGTAGCATATTTATTGAAAGTCTTTATACGTTTAATTTGAAAATATTTTTCTTTACTTTTATTCCTCATTCTACCAAAACAACATTATCTCAAAATAAAAGACTTTTATTCTGCTTTGCGCCTGCGCGTGGATTAGAGCGTCTCGGGGTAATGGCTTTAGAATCGGCGACCTCTAACGGTACAACTGATGAAAACCACCCAAAAGAAAGCGACGAGCGGAAAAAAGGATGGTTATTTAAGAAAACGCACTACACCAAGCGCTGGAGAATGATGTGGTTTCATATCAGAGACGGACAGCTTGTCTATGGTTTTAATGAAAAGGTAAGAGCGAACAATGCCGGTTTGCGCACAAGCCCCGCAGCCCTTGTAACAGTGATCAGCTTATCAGCATTAACTTCAGCACACCTGCGCGAACGCTGTGAATGCTAATTATCTGATCAAGAAACTGAAACTGCACGGTAAATAATTAATAACTAAATGCTACCGGATTGAGTTGCTAATCGCCTTGTTGTTGTTGTTATGTTACCATGGCAACGCCTGCTGAAGACGCGCACTGTCGCTTATATAAAAATTGGGTTACACTTTTTTTTAAGGTGTCCTTGTTGCAGTGTAATTATACATATAAGTACTGAGCAATATTAATTAACTACATGCACTTACTATATGGTTAGGAGGATTAGGATTTGTTTTAGGGGTACTTGCATGTAATTATGACTTGCATGTAATAATGCATAATTAATTGTTATTATAATAGTAATTACATGTAACATGTGCAACAAGGACACCTTAAAATAAAGTGTTACCAAAAACTGCTTTAGTTTTAAACATACACCATGGGTACACTTTGAAATGGGAACACTTTCAAGGATTCTGAACTGTAATCTGTTCCTAGTCAGCAGAAAAGGCCATTAATCTGGTTGGAGCAAAGGTGGAGATGCTGGAGGGTGATGGGACATTTGGCTGGACCGTCACACCAAAGCACAGTAAGCGCAGCTTCATCCTGCAGGCCAGCAGCGCAGAGGAGCAGCAGGCCTGGATGACCGCCATATGTGAGGCTCAGCTGAGCTCCGAACAGCACAGCTCCAATGCATGTGCTGTGCAATAACTAGACCAGTTTTTCCACCACAGAGAATTTATAGTTTTCTACACCATGTTGTCTTACTTCCTTCTTGAAATGACCAAGAAAGATCCTCTAATGATGTAGTCCACCTCCCGTGAAGGACACACACTCCTACAATTATCTTATTACATTATTTGAAAACATGTTTTATGTAAGACATTTTTGAGAACATTGTTTTCCTACATAGTTCTACTTCTTAAATAAAAAAAAAAGAAGCCAAATTTGAGTGATTTGTGAGTGATTACACTAAATATGTATGTAGATGTTATGTTGTTATTATCATTAACTAGAACTAAAATTAAAACAACAATAACACACTTTAAATCAAATAAATTGAAATAAAATATAAATATAAAAAAAACTTATTTTATTTCAGCTAGTTGCCAAGGCAACATTTAAAATAACTAATTAACTAAACACTTAAAAACTATATAGACATTTATATAAATCACTTAAACTATAACTAAAATTAATCAAATTAAAATGATTTTGAATTATATATTTATATAATTTATGTAATTCAAAATATTGTAAGCATGCATGGGTTATTTCATAACACAATAATAATATGTAATAATATAAATAAAAAGTCTGCTTTTATTTTTTAAAAAGAAAGAAAGAATAAAAAGGAAAGGAAGTTGAGGCACGTTTACCTATAATTTAAAGGGGTCATATGATGCGATTTAAATTTTTCCTCTCTCTCACGCTTGAGGTATTCGGCCAATCACAACACACTGGATAGCTGGCCAATCAGAGCACACCTCGCTTTTTCAGACCGATGAGCTTTGTAGAAATTGATGCGTTTCAGAAAGGCTAGGCATAGAGGAGAAACAATAATGTACAGTATGTGGAAAACCTTTTTTTGAACCTTAAACCTTGGGTTTTTTGAACCTTAAACCGCATAAACACATTTCATTACACCAAATACACAAAATAATGTTCTTTTTAGCAACATCATATGACCCCTTTAAATTTAATAGTTTACCTACAATTTTAAATACTAGCCTGTAGAGGGCAGTGCGTGTTAGAAAATAAATGACATTCACCATACCATAGACCATGGTCTAAAAACCAGTTTCAATTATTTCTATTTACATATTAATGAACGTAATGAAAATGTTTTACCTGTATTTAGTTCCTATTAGTGTGTTCTGGAACTAAAAAACGCCTGCACTGCCTAAACAGATTGAATACTTTATCCTGTAATGAATCTATAAAAATACTCACAACATGAACTGGCAATTACGAAATAACAAAAGTGAGAAATGCCAGGTGCTGTGATAAACAAACAAACAAATAAGAATAAAGAATAATGTAGACATCAACAAAATGTGTGTATTTGTGGCCGTGGCTCATTTCTGTTTTACTCTTTTTTTTTTAAATATCATATTGTTTATTATTGAATTGTTTTATAATTGATCTTTATACTCTATAGTAACATTATATAGTAATGTATTTCTTAACGTGTCATTATATATATATATTTATTTATTTAGTCATTTATCAGACGCTTTTATCCAAAGCGACTTACAAATGAGGACAACAGAAGCAATCAATTGTAGTATTAAAACAACTAAAAACAGATCCAAAACTAAAAGCTAAAACTTTATAAATACTACCTATACACATTTTAAAAATAAAGAGATCAAATAAAAATGACAAATGCATCCAACAAAGTTTCAAAACGTAACATTTAAATGAAAAACAAAAAATAAAGCTA